TGAGATAATAGGGTGTGCCTCGCCGATCATTATAAATATAAAGCATACCCGCGTAGACGAAACGAAAGTCACCTGCTAGCTTCAGCGTCACGCATGATCATTATACTTTGCTTCGTGTACTGGAGCTGTTCGTCGTCTTGTTTTCTCTTTTTACACCTCCCTTCTTTCTAATCTCTTTCTTGTTTACGCGTGCGCTCTCTCACTCTCATTCTCTATAATAAATATATTAGATATTGACGTGTCTTTGTGTGTCTCCAAAGCTATCTATAGATATAAAAACAAATTTATCATTTGTAACTATTATATATATTATATATCATTATATTATTAATATTATTTGCTAGAAATATTATATATAAACTGTCACTGGCTACTAGCTATTAATTAGAATAGTTAATTATCCTCTATTCCTAATTAAGCTTCCCCCATTCGCCGTTTCCTTTACCTTAATTACATTAAGCTTTTTAGCTTTGTTCTTTTTCATTTTTGCCGTAAAACTTGTAATATATTTCACTATTTTTGGAACATTATTGACCAACAAAATTTAGTTCGTTTTTCTCCAACCTAAATTTTTGCACACTTTATAAGGTAATTCTGCATCATTAGTGTATAAACTTTCTCTAATGTCGGACAAAGCCAGCAACCCTGTGGGTGTCAGAGCAGAGCCAAAGCTTTTGAGGTGAGTGACCTTAGCTTCCCCCCCAATTTACATCCTTTTTTTTCTCATCACTCTCTGAAATAATAACGTTATCTTATTCAGAGACCCGTCAGCACTCGAGTCTATTTCTTCTGCAATTTACGGTCTTTCGTCATATGTGGCCCATAATCTACCCTCTTCAATTGCCTCCCTCAGAAAAGTTGCTGGCGGCGCGTCTGGAGAACTAAACAACCACGCATTTTTACATCAAGACTACTTAACACCACAGTTTTCGGGCGATATAGATGCCCAATCGTCAACTGCGCCTGATTTAGTTTTTGGGTCAAAGAAAGATGTTATTGTATATGCAGCTTTCGATGAAATTGAGGTTGTTGCGCTGGGCGCTCAAAATAGTTCTGTAAAGTAGGTTCTCGCAAGATTAAGCACGCTGCTCAAACAATAT